TTGCTCCTAGTAGTAAGGCCAGGAGCCCCTAGTAGCGTCCTTGCTCCCTAGTAGCGTCCTTGCTCCCTAGTAGCGTCCTTGCTACATGCGAATTATGTCATGTACATTCTCCAACTTCCAACTCACTCTCAATAGAGAGCAAACCCTCCAGCCTCCACCACTTGTTGCGTTCGCCAGCCTCAGGCTGCAAGAGGGTCTCCGATCTAGGAGTATTTGTAAATTGTAACTATATACAGCATTATCAGGGACCCAATCTTCTTCCGACATATTTAGGGAATCCAGCTCTGCTGCAAACAAACACTGTGCATGCGTCGATATTTGTCACTGATTGGAATCGACCGGGACAGCTTGCTTCCTTGATATCTCAATGCGCCTCTCATACATCGCAGGGGTCAAGTTCATGCCGCCGGTGTTGGTTGGGTTGCCACAGCAGCTACCACCTCACGCTGGTGAAAAGATCTTTCTCTGTACAATGGAGAAAGTCGGTGAACTGTGACCAAGGGCAAAAAGACAAACAAACATGCCTGACATTGCCTGACCATACCTGTTCCATCCTGTTCCTCTCTCTTTCTGACACAAGCGGTTGCAGCGGTTCGCAGGCTCTTTGCAAGCAGCACCAATTACACAATGCCATGTTGTTTCATCAGTCCAAAATATATAGTCCAAAGATGTGGTATTTACAACTCAGGGACTCTTAGAATTAGAACTCTGTACCGGCAAGGGTTCTGGCTTGCTAAAGTGAAACACACCAACGCAAACACTGGATGCTTTTCCAAAATGGATTCGAATGAATATGCATCAAAGAATCATACAAGGTGCTCACGTGTCAATCGATTGGCACACACCACAGTAAACACCATGATGCAGCTTTACTACTACACCTATGCGTCTCCGAGGACAATTGGATCTACAGTACTAGTACCTGTCATTCCGTGCAACGATGCCGACAAAGGCACCACAGCCACCGCATCCAGCGCAACCACCACAGCCGCTGCAACCGCAGCCACCGCAGCCACAGGCTCCACTCGGGCAGCCACAGGCTCCGCAGCCACAGGCCCCACAGCACCCACCGCCACATCCGCCAACGCATGCCCCGTTGCCCTTGGCACAAGGTGGCCCCCATCGTTGAAAGCTTGAAAGCGATCTAGAATCTAGTTAGGAAAGCACATTTGGCATGGGCTTGGTCACCACCAGCAATTTCTCAAAGTTGCAAACCTCATCGTCTGCTTTCTCCTTATTCCGAAGACCAAGTGACGCTCAGGTTGCCAGCCATGCAGCTATTGCAGTTGCCACCAGCGCAGCCACATCCTCCTCCAACTATGCTTACCATAACCCGTGCATGGCGAAACTGGACAATGACAGTGAGCAACAGGCAAACAACTGAGAGCCTGTAAACAAACATGACATGACACACTGCACTTGCACTGTACTTTACACGTTTCTTGTTCAATGAAGTGTGACAACAGGTACCATAGATCAAGAACCCAGTGTTGGCAACGTGCCGACCTGCGCAATTTTGAGCATTGCAGCCACCCATCTGAAGATTTCCACATCCCATGGTTCCGCATCCTTCAGTGCAAAAGCTGCAACAGTGTCCATGGTAAACTTGAGTGCTTGAGCATGGCCATTAGGTAAATCGCCCCAGAATTTCCCGACATTCACCCTCACAATCTACACTAGTCCAGTTTGTCAGAGCCTCCGCTGACCGTCGCGTGGTAAGTGGGAAATCTTACACATGCGGGCATACGCGGCAAAATGCTAGTATGCACTCAAATGATATCATTATGAAAGGAATATGTAAAGGCACTCAGGCCGAGGATCCGCATGGCTGACCACAGCAGCCACAGGCTCCGCACCCGACGAGGCCACCCATGGGATTGCAGCCACAACCTGGGCCAGGCTTTGCAAGCCCAAGAAAACACCTTGATCATTGTGCCTTTATAAAAGCATATAAAAGCTACAAAAGAAGCAACCCCCACAGGAATTCTTGGATTGGCGGGGGTTCAACGTGTGGGTTGAGCAGGCTAAACTGCAAACATGTGATGTTTACGAGGCATTTGCATTGTTTTGCACAGGGCAAGTTCAAATTCTCGCTTCAGAAACCATGCGGCAATCACCAGTGAACATGACAAACACCTCTATCACCCAAGAATCAAATCGACTGCGTCGTGTTGGTGGTGACCTACTCGAACCCGTGCCCTCACAAATATTTACAGTACATCTTGTTCTTGAAGAGGTTTGGAGGGAAACACACTTTGCAGCTTCTCAAATTTGGCTGAGCCACCTGCCATTGAACCCATGGAGTCACTTTGTCCTTCGCAACCCGTGGCGCCACAGCACCCGGGGAAGCCGCTCTTGCCCATCAAAATGCTCGGGCCACTGGCCATGCCAAAGGATCCCAGGTTAGGCCTTGCTGTGAAGCAGATTGAGTCCAGAATCTCCCACAAGTTCCAAAATGATCTCGGAGGTTTTGTTGTTCTTGTGGTTGAACAGCCGTTGCTGACGGATCCTCATAACCCTAAGGTCAGCAACGATCTAATCTCGGGAGTGGTGGCTGAAACTTTATGAGCGGCGACATTGTTTGTTACTAAACGCAAATACTATCTGTTAAAATCTGTTATGTGGGAGCTTTATCTCGTTTAGACTACTTTAGTAGGAGGCCATGTCACAGTATCTCGTTCAGATAACTTTAGTGATTTAGTGTCATCAGCAAGTGTAGATGATTTTTATGTCAACGCCCCATCTCGTTCACTAGCGAATACTGATGCTGGACAAACAAAATGAGCATGGCGTAGACCACTTTAGTCGGGACATCTTGCTCCTCAACACGAACTGTGATAGACTGCTTCATTACCAAGTTGCATCTTCTGTGCAGCCATGGCCATGCCACTCCTGAGTGGTCAACCCATGAGTGCAATTAGCCACACGCGGAAAAAACATGAAAAAGCTGCAGCTATTGATGACGATAACTAGCAACAAGTGCATCGCTACTAGTAACAAGTGCCTTACTAGTAGTAACAAGAAGCTATTAGGAACAAGTGCCTTACTACTAGGAGCAAGAAGCTACTAGGGGCTACAAACGATTACAACTCAACTGTCTCGAACGTCGAAATTCGACATTCTTAAAATACTTTTTAAAGGGCCGCTCTGCCCCCCTACCTACTAGCGACGGCCTCCAAATGGTTTCATGTCTCGTTCTTTTCTCCCCGCCACGGTCAAGCTGAGCGACATCTGCTGGTCCAAGACCGGAGACGTCTCCGGAGTGCCCGGATTCTTGCCCTTTCCCTTCTTGCCTTTGCCTCAAAAAAGAACATAAAGAAATTGCATTCAAGGGAAAAGACTTGGGTTTGAAGTGTCACCGTCATCTTTGGGTCTTGAAGTTTGGAACCCAGGCCTTTGCCTTTCTCAGGCGGTTTGGCGCCGCCAGTACCTCCGGCCACCTGGTGAGCCTTCATCCGGCCAGTGCGGCTGTCCACAGCCTCGCTGTACCTTGCATTCCACGTGAAAACGAAATCAAATAGTGCCGCGTGTAACACTAGTAGCGATGCCCTTGTACCTTTAAAACGAGGTCTTGCGACAGATTCTCCAAGCACGTTTCGCCTATTAACGCTCACAGTTTCACATGCCAAGCGACTGGACCCGGTCGCCCTCCTTCAAAAGTTGATCAATGACGTCATTGCCTCAAGTCCACACCCGATCGGCTGCTGCATTCTGCTAACTTGCGCAGGTCCATCCCAGTATTGACAGGCGCATCATTGGTTTGAGTCCCGGCAACACCTCTGTCATAGCAAAACTTCTCCAGTGGCCAGTGGAAGTAATTAGCGGAAGAATGAGAAAGAATCAAAGGCTAATTCGTTGGGAGGAGGTCATTCCCAAGCCGAGCAGCGATGCACAAACAGATCTGCACCTCCGTCATCTTGCTTGATGAAGCCGAAGCCCTTCTCGTCGTTGAAAAACCTGAGCACTTCATTATTTTGCCGTGTGCTCAATCAATTGCGGCTTAGCAAAACGTAAGCAAGAAATTGCTTGTTGGTGTCAAGGTACTTAACCAGTCCGGTCTTTCCGCTACCTGGCACGCCGGTCGCGCCAGGCACCAGCGGCTTGCCTACACGTGGAACTTCTGTTGGGAAATGAGGCAAACAAGACCCACAAGTATCTCAACGTGCACGAAGAATTGCACCTACGCCAGGCAGCGCACCACCTGCAAGTGGGCAAGCGCGCAAAGAATAATTCTATCAGGCAAAGTACTGGAGTACTTTGCCAAGTTGCGTTCCTTAAACATAATTATTGTATAATACTGTTTAATGTTGTATAGGCGGTTTCAAGGCAAATGCCCTTTGTGTTAAACACCAATAGCAAATGGTTGTTTGGCTGGGCTGCACCATTTCATCTCCCCGTTCTCCAAGCAAACATCCGTATGATCTGGCTTGTACACTTTTTTGCTGCGCACGCCGCCGCCTTTCATGTAGGTCTCACCAACTGACATTCGAGTTGATTTGGTGAAGTTTTGTGCTAAGAGTACCAGTCATCAAAAACTTTGCAGAAGTAGATTAACAATCCCATCCTACCTTCTGCTTGCTTCTGTGTTCCCACAAATAAATAGTGGGCCCAAAAAGCTATGTCATTATGTAATTTACATAGACCATTGCGATTAATTACAATCATTGGATTCATTGAGCTCAGAGTCCACACCCTCCGCCTCCTGCAAGTGCCATGCACGGGGCACAAGGTCCACATGGGCATGGCCCACCAGCTAGCCTTAGATCAGCAATCAATAATAACTACACAATACAATACAATACACATGATTAATCCACTCGGATTCAAGTCCCACGTACCAAGCTGAGAAAATGCCTCGAGGAGTCTACCTGCACGAGTCTTTAACCCTCCAAACTCCCTATCTCTGCTTTCCTTTTACGCTGCATCCCTGCAGCACGCTGCCCCTGTAGGTGCTTGTCCAAGCTTCGGTCCAGCTCCGTTGAGCCCTGTGGCAGATTCTCTCTTTGTGAAACTTGCCCCCGGTCCCTCGTGGGTCCAAAGCATAAAGACGTAAAGCAATCACATTCATTCACTTTGCATAAACACCTTGTGACCCTACGTCTTGAAACCGTTCCGCTCCAAAGCCCTGCCCGGCCTCCGAGCTGCTTCGGACCTGCCATGTCGCACACGATTCCTAAGCCCGCCTGGGCCTAAGCCCCACTGAAGCCCCAAGGACCCCAAGCCAAACCACTGCATAGGTACTTCAAACAGGCATGACCAGTTTGAAGCTGTTGAGCCTTTACCAACCCGGAATCTTTCCGAGCATGAGCTGAGGATGCCTCCTTTGCCCTTGTCGCCGCGCTTGCCTTTGCCTTTCCCTGCCAAGTCAACGTTTTGATACGTTTTGTTTGTCTGTGGAAACAAAACAGTTGTAACGAACTGGGAAACTTGACAAAACCATTCTACAAGTAAGACTCCTTTGCTGAAGTCATCTTTCATTTGTCGAGATTCTCTTACACGCCATCAGAAGTTCACATCAGCTGCCCTGCCCTAATCGGAGAACAGTCGGTCAATGCTTGTGCGATGCCAAAGACTCGTTCAAACACTTGGCCATGCGACAAACGGTTCGTGGATTGGCCAACTGTCCTTCCAATAAGCCCAACCTTTAAACCAAACTGGAGAGCGCTTGCATAAATACGCACACATCACATTGGCAGGTTGCCTCGCAGGCACTTTGATCCTAACCAGGCCACGAGCCTTAATCTATCGCTTTCTGGTTCCGTATTCTTCTGACTGGCCACACAAAACAAACATCTTCAGATTCCAACTGGCATTCTCCCTTAAATTTCCACCAGCAGGCTGCCTCCACCTTCGCCCTCACCTTTACCTGACCCGGAATGGCCGACATGAACTGGAGTTGCAGTCAATCTGGCCAGCATAAACACTTCAACATCTCCTTGTGACAACTAAATATGTAAGCAGCAGTTGTGGTTTGTGCTTTCCTCTTGTCCCATTTGCTCGAAGAACTCTAAAACCACCTACAGTACCGCCGGGTGTCTTTTGGAACCGCTGCACCATGCTACAGTTGTAGGCTCCAATCGCAAGATCAGTACTCTCGGGAACTCTATAATTATATAGTTTTCTATAGTGCTGTATTACCTGCACAATGGTTTCTGATCACGGTCCGCGTGTTTAAAAAAGATGCGTTCAACAGTTGCTGGCTCAACCTGGCCAAGTGTCAGCAGTGGTGGGTCCTCTGCCATGCTTGCAAGTAAAATACCGGGCTCCAAAGAATCTACGCATAGTCCCCTCTATGCATACCAACCTGAAGCTACTGCAGTAATACTGGGACCTCTCAATGTATGGTCAGCTTCTGCTATTTGCTTCCCAAGAATTGGAATTGTCTATGCGGTAGAGCTGTGCAGCAATCCTGAACCCCTTAAACTTTGTCAAACCTCAACTTGACGCCTACAGGTTTATTGCCTAGAAAATCAAGACCGCTTAAAGATAGACTCTGAAGTCAAAAACGATGCTACAAAAAGTTCAAGCGCCCAGGACACTGCGTAAGCACTCTAAACTAAAGCCGCAGCCGTATTGGAGGAGGGCATCCCTACGCAAAGTACGACAATTGCAAGGAATCATGAGCATCTATATAAGCATAGCATCAGCAGATTTTACATTCCCAACAAAGCATATATAAGTAGATTTGACATGTCATTTTTAGCTCCGGCCCCCCGCTGCACCTGGAGGGCCGCTGCCGCCAGTGACATGGATGGCCTTCGGCTTTCCGGTGCGCTCGTTCAAGCCCTCGTCGAAAGCGACCTGGGTGAATGTCCGAGTTCGGTTGACATAGGTTGACCATTGACATCTCTACTACACACTGTCCCAGGGTTCCACTAAATAGAATCACCTTGTGCCACACATAGTGTTAGAATCCTGGACAAAATCACTTAGAAGGCTCTCTTGAAAACCCTTTGCCTGCTCACTCTGGTTTACCTGCTGCTTGAAGAATCTGAGGCCTTACATTGATTCTCTCTTTTGTTTCTGTTGATTGCTTGTCCTTTGGACCCCTTTGGAAACTGGCAGGATTAAGTGAAGGTTTGCACATGGCAGCAATGGCCCGAGTCCCTGATTCAAACAATTCAAACGTAAGACACTGAAAATACTTCAAGTGCTGCTGCTGTCTAATCTCGAAAGTTGTTTCATGACATGTCTAGTTTTGCAGACCGGCCTTGTTTATTGAACACCATCTTCTTCCCTTATAGTATACACAACACATATATATATATATATGTTTCATATGCTGTTAATATATATATATATAGATGCCCCAACATTTCAATCAGACTGAGAAGTCCACCTTGTCACCAGCCTGCAAAGATCCGCCAATGACATCTGTTCGAAGTACGAAAAGATCCTGATCCAAATGGGAGACTGTTCGGCGCACTGCACAGAAGTTCTATCTGTTGTATTCATTCAGGTTTAATCAATGGAAGTTTCATTGATCTTCCCTTTATAGATATGAGCCCACACTTGAACAACGAAAAATGAGCTCAAAACTCAAGGTCGTCAACCTATGTTTGAGAATCAAAGACATGGGCGGTCATGGGCATGGGCAGACCTTACTTAGCGATAATGAGAGATTCTAGCCACCTGGCCTAACTGGCTTTCATTTCTTGGACCTGCGCAGCCTGTCTCGTAATTTCCTGGAATTGTATGGTCAAAAGATGTCACTGCACTTGAAGTGGTTTGAAGGTCAGTGCTCGCGCCAAATTACGATCTGGGATGATCTGGGATCGTTGTCCAGTGATCCACAATGCCAACATAAAAATAATTGCAAACAAAATGCAAACTTGGCAATGATGTTTCATCATCTGTGGGATAGTGCAAAACTGCACACCTGCACCTGGCCAAATGCTTCTTGGAGCCAGTGAGTTGGATCCCATCTAACTCAGTGGCGCCTTTGGCGTATGTCTCTACTGTAAGTAAGGCCTGCAAACGTCTCTACAGTGCATGTTTCTACAGCAGTCTACATAATATGTCTGCACAGTGTGTCATGGTTTTGGAACATCGTTGCAACTCGCACAGTGGATTTGTTCAATAAGCGGAGACCCATAGTGCTTTCCATACCTGTGGTTCACACTCTACTGTACCAAAATTTTAATTTCAACTTCCATTCTTTCAGTGGAAGCCCCTTCCAGTTGCCTGATCCACACTCAGAAACGACACAAAGCACGTCTTTCCGGTCCTGGTTTGTGCCTTGTGGAACAATAAAGCCAAAGCCCTGGCAAATGGCCGCTTCAGGACCGAAACGAATCCCTCGGAATCGCAAGCGAATGAAGTGATCTCCGTTGACGCTGCGACTCGAAATGTTTGGGAGCTTCTCGAAGTGACACCACGAAAACCTCGTCCAAAGCCACGCCTTGTCACTGTTGTATTTTTTCACCACTCCAGTGTGGGCCATGGTCACAAAACTCGAAAAGACTGCCTAAGCTGGAGCGAGAGAACCCTACAGTCACAGCAGCCGATTGTGGCCCCTGATGGCGATGGCCTCCAACCTAATGGCGATGGCTTCAAGCTAATGGCGATGGCCTCCAACCCAAAAATAGATGGCCTCAACCTAGTGGCGATGGCCTCCAACCTACTCCACCTGATGGCGATGGCTTCAAGC